TATGCTTGTTCAGACACATCGAGCGGCTCAGAGGCTCCATGCCAGTTCACTTCATATCAGTCTTATAGAGTATGCACTGCAGCAAGTTAATTGAAAACATGAAATTAAACGCTTATTAAAGTCCCTCTGTGGTGTAAATCCAGCGTTTAATGTTGTTTATGTGTCTATGTGGTGTTATTAATATGCTTTAAGACACACCATGTGTAAGTTCATAAGTCGACAGCATTGCTGAGAATTTTCTGCTTAAAACTGCAGTGAACCAAAGACAGTCTCAAAAACACGGTTTGAAATCGCTGGTGTTTCTGACGTCACAAACGACCTTGTAACCAATCAGATCAACGTGTGATCGTCAACCAGTGGATCTCTGAGTGAGTGAGTGAGCGGAGGCGGGGCTCATTTGCATATTCATAGAACCGTGCATACTAAATGAGGCAAGGGTGTCGAGTTACATTCAAGATATTTTAAGGTATTAAGAGTTTTTTTTTTCAAGAAAAAAACGCTAAAATATGTAATTCAAATCTAAATTCAAATGTGCTTTCGCGCGTTGGCTGGCACTGAGCCAGAGATCTCAGCGCTTGTCATATATCTCAACTATTCAGTGTTTACAACCACATAATGTTTAGTTTAGGTTTCAGACATTTTTTAAGAACTAAAAAAACAATACATTTAGAGTTTGTAAAGTACACACTGATATCTATGGAAGTGGAATAATAATCATTTCCATTATAATTAGACGACACGTTTTATTCATATCAGATACACATTGTCTAAGTAGCGTAAAAGTTTACCCTATTCTTCTCCCAGTTCACCAGCCACTTACTTTCATGTATTTCGTGACAAGTGGATGAATTGACGTTTTGTAAATCCAACAGATCCGATTCTCTGTACTGTGGCACAAACTAACATGGCGGCGCAACTAACGCGACCGTTATAAAGGTGTTTAAACAACAAAACGCATCCACTTGCACATATTCGACAATGGTCGTCTTGAAAAACTCACGCCGGGGGGTGTGAGACTGGAAAAACTGGAAGAACTGGTTGAGGAAAGACCACTCCTCGAGAAGACAAAGGACCTTGCTGGAAATTACCATTTGAACTCACCATTTAAGACAAAAGTCTCACCTAACTACATTTCTTCCCCTCATCCCCCACTCGTTCTATCACCAAAACTCACACAAGAATATATATGGTTTAATGTGAATGATTATCATCGGGTATTAGTGTCATTTGAAATGTCTCGGGGTGACTGGTACAAATGTCTAATTTCCAAAAGGTAATAAGGTTTTTAAAGGGGTGGTTCATGATTTTGGACATCCAATTTGTTCTAATTAAATTAATAATCTACATTAATTTTGTCCTGCTTAGACTTGTATTAGACCAGGTTTAAGTTACATCAGACTCTCTATTTTAGGTATTTAAATGTTTATTTTGTCCTCCAAAGTTTACTATTGGACAATGTTTAATTAAACCTTGTGGGCTGCATCAGACTGCTCCATTTTGTTTGTATTTATCTTTGTCTTATATTAAGCATCGGTATCGGGATCGGTATCGGCCGATCACCATGACAAGAAATCGGCAATCGTTATCGGCTGCAAAAATCCTGATCGGAGCATCCCTAGTCAATAGCCTTTAAAAAATTATTTTCGCCATGTTTTTTGGAATAAAATGTTATAAAAATCAGGCTAGGACTAATATATTTACAAATCCCTCTGTAAATGTCTCCATAATATAACCAGGTACAAGACTAGAAAGTGTGATGTATATCGGTGCTACTGTAGTGGAGATTTCGGACTTGGTGTGAGAGAAAAGTCATTTTGAGAAAATGGGCTTTAAAGATTTAGCATCAGCCAATGAGATTGCGCATTTAGAGTTAAATCCCCCCTCTTTTACTTTCACGATTGGTTGCTGATAAAAAGGAAATGACCATATTTGGATCCGACAACATTGTACAGGAGAGAGAGAGAGCTTTCTAACGGTGTGTGTGATGACAGGGTGCAGATCGCGGAGCAGCCGGATGATTTAGATCACCAACTTTTGATGAATTTATGTGAAATCTACAGACACACAAAGAGACAAAGTGTAGTAAAATAAAGACCTAAATGTGTATTTCAGACTTTTTTCACCACAATCCTAAAAGACAAATCCCAAAATCTCAAAATTGACCAGTAAAAAACAACAACGATGTTTTTGCCTGCCGCGTCTCTCCTTAAAGTGACAGCAGCCTAATATTCCTGCTGCCGTCTATAATAACGTTAATCAAACAACAAAAGACAGAGAAAATGCAGGCGCTATTCTTGACTGAGTAACTTTTGTAACTATATTTGTAATGTAGCCTATATTTTATTTTTAAACTGCAATGTTGTTTTACATTTGATTACAGGTCTGTACCTGAATACCTGGAAATCTTAAAACACTTTATTTCACTTGTATCTCGGTTCAGTTGTATTTATTTGAGCGATTGCTAATTTGTTTTATTTGTTCTTTTTGTGTTTACTTGCCTTTAATAATGCTTGAAATTTAAATGAGTTAGGCTAGTTGTTTAGTTTAATCAAAATATATATTACGAAATTTATATTGGTTCTGTGTGGTATTGGATGAAATATAACATGCATTTCTCTAGATTTGTTCATCTTGGATAAGTCTGTATAGTTGCAGTGCATTCTGGGTTTTTTTGTAAAGAATACATGCAAGGCCTTTAGTTTGAAGAGACTCTCCACAGAAGCCGGTGTGTAAATCATTGGAGTAAAGACTTTCCTTCCCCTGCTGTTAGTTATCTAGTAAGGTATCGGGTTGTTTATTAGCCCAGACAAGATCTCAGTACTAACAAGAGCGAGGATGGTTTGTGAGACGGAGTCTAATAGCCCGTCAGGTCTAATCTGATACGGTCGACAGCACTGCAGTGTCTCAGAGCTACAGATTCCCCTGATACATTACAGCTGGCCTCTTGTGTTCGGCCACGTCATCAGCGTCCACTCGTGTGGACATCTCACACACTCCGGCATCAAAGGCCAGCGCACGTGCACAGATCCGTCTTTCAAATTGGGGCCAAGAGGGTCAAAGGTCAGAGGAACATCAGTCATTTGTTGTTCTTCAGCTTCTGTTAATGGTTTGATTATTAAAAGCCAGATCTTTTTTCTGTGTAATCATTATCTATCCTGCACTGCTTGTAAGTAGGGCTGGGGAAAAAAGTCCTACCCCCCCCCCCCCCCCCCCCCTTTATAAATAATTTGGATGTTTAACAATCTTTGTTGCACACTGCACTGTGACTTTTCAGTTAGAGAAAGGGTTTGCCTTTGCAATTTTGTTTATGTTGATGCACTTTAATTAAAGACAATAAATATATATATTTTTAAATATATTTACAGTTCGCAGTTATTTTGTTTTAAATGGAAGGGGGGGGGGGGGGGGGTCGAATCGTAAATCGAGTTTTTTTTATAAAAAAATGACTGATTTTTTTTAGGGAAAAAATCACCCAGCTCTACTTGTAAGACTGGAGAAATATTACATACGGCATTCAAGATTTTCTAAATATACATTTCGCGAGTGATGCATCGTCAAACCATTGTTATTGTTAACTAAAACTATTAAAAACAGTTCCCTTGATTGATATTAAGCTGAAATAAAATATACTGTAAGTATTAGATGAGAAACTTTAACTTAAAAAACTTAAATAGAAATGAGAAATTAAGCTTTGGCTTAACTTAAAGAAGAAAATAAGTTGAAGTACTAAAATTTAAATAAAAGGAAAGATAAATAGAAATATTTGAGAAAAATGAAACCACTAATAAAAGTCACAAAGCACCTGACAAAATAACTGAACTTAAACAAAAAACGGAAAATATAAAAATAATATTTATAAGTACTGTAATGGTCTATAAATAACACTGTCAAGCATCGGTCTAATCAGGGTAAAGTAACTCGAGACTGAAGTCAAGCAAAACATTTTTTTCAATTTTGCTCAAATTTATAAATTAAATTTGTTGAAAGATTGATTATATGTTTGAAATTTTGAAGGCTGCCTCCTCTTTTTAATTACGATCACAATTAAAGGTAACTAAACTTATTTAACTCATTTGATTTGTGTGAGAAACGGACTGGATTTTCCTTTTCACGTAAGAGTTCATCTCTCTGATTTGTAAATTAATCTTTTTAATGAATTGCTTTACAAAACCACATGATCAGATTGAGCTCACTGGATAATGGCTCTCTGGATTATCAGTGAAACTCTATTGCAATCGATTGTGAGTTAAATCTCTTTTGCACGTCACATGAGAAATATTATTTGTGTTGTTGCATATGAATGTTGTTCCAAATCAATTACTCTTTCAGCTCCGCAAGAATATAGCCAGTGTTGTGCCTGAACGCGTTCATATTTTGGGCGAACGTGAACTGAACGTACTGTATTCCTGCCTGATGAACGTTACTGTGAACTCGTTCATTCTGGTTTCTGTGAACGCACGCTCTCTCAGTTTAACTTCGCTCAATAGGGTGCCAGATTTCTATAGAGCGAAACCCCGGCTAAAACACGCGTAAACAGGCCTTAATATGTAGCGAAAAAAACACCCAATCTGGCAACACCAGCCGCCAGTGTCGCACCGCCGCACGCGCCATCAAAACTAAAAGCAGCATGAGGTCGACAAAGCAGCGAGGAGGCGTCGTATCGTATGATCATTTAAACGAGTTTTATGACAAGGTCGGTGAGGATGGGAAAAATCTTACATTTCTGTGCAAACTTTGCCCGCCGATAAAATAATTGCTGTAGTGGTTGTATATGGGCTGTGGCAATAATAAAAATAAAAAATAAATAGCTCGCAGCAACATATGGGAAAAATTAACTATGAACTAGTTGATTTTAAAATTTGTGAACTGAACTTTGAACTAGTTCATGTAGAAAGTGAACTTTCCCAACACTGAATATAGCGATGTTGGGAAAGTTTAGAATTAGACGCCTAGGGTTGTGTAGAAGTTTGTTTCTGAACTGTGTGTGTTTGTGTTTGTAGCTGACAGATGGAGGAAAGGCAGCTAAAGCCAAGATCAGCGTTGGGGACGTCGTTCTGTCTATCGATGGCATCGCCACAGAGGGAATGACCCACCTGGAAGCCCAGAACAAAATCAAAGCTTGTACGGGGAACCTAAACCTCTCACTGCTGAGGTAAGACACACACACACACACACACACACACACACACACACACACACACACACACACACACACACACACACACACACACACACACACACACACACACACACACACACACACACACACACACACACACACAATACTACTTCAATGACTTTTCAGCTGTCAATGTCTCATGGCATCTAGAAGTTTGGCTTGGACATGCAGATTTAAATGTATATTGCATTACATGACAAATAAGACTTAATATCTGGCAGATTGGAATATTAATCACCAAATTGTGATTGATATATTCTTGTGCATGTTAGTGTTTGTAGGCGTCCTTGATTATCTACACTACCTTTCAATGGTTTGGAATAATTAAGATTTTTTTGTTTTGTTTTTGAAAGAAGACTCTTCTGCTCACCAAGGCTGTATTTATTTAGTCAAAATTGTGAAATATTATTATAATGTAAAATAGTGGTTGTGAATATATATAGTAAAGTGTAATTTATTCCTGTGATCAAAGCTGTATTTTCAGCATCATTACTCCAGTCTTCAGTGTCACATGATCCTTCAGAAATCACTCTAATATGATGATCTGATGCTCAAGAAACATTTATGATTATTATCAGTGTTGAAAACCATTGTGCTGCTTCATATTTTTGTGGAAACACTGCAATTTAAAAAGTTTTGAAGGAAAAAAAATATTTATAAAGGACACATACTGATCAAAAGTGGCAGTAAAAACTTTAATAATATCACAAAAGATTTCTATTTCAAATAAATGCTGTTCTTTTGAACATTCTATTCATCAAAGAATCCTGAAATAATATAAAATGGATTATTTTTTTCCTCAAAAATATCTCTATATATATATATATATCTATATATATAGTTTTCAATATTGGTAATAATCATAAATGTTTCTTGAGCATCAGATCCTCATATTAGAGTGATTTCTGAAGGATCATGTGACACTGAAGACTGGAGTAATGATGCTGAAAATTCAGCTTTGATCATTCCAATAAATTACACTTTACTATATACTGACATAAAAATCAGCTATTTAAAATTTTAATAATATTTCACTTTTTTTACAATCTTGGTGAGCAGAAGAGACTTTCAAAAACAATCAAATTATGAATTACTCCGTTCTGTTGACCACGTATCCTCAAAACTGCCCCTTCTCAAAGTTCATGCTGAACCTTCATTGAAAGCGAACGGATGGTTGTCCAGATACGATCATGGATTGTGTAAATATGACAGCGGTGCCTCAGAGGAGAGGATTTGTTTGGTTAATGCAGTTCTTGGCCCGGTTTGTCTCTTCCCATCACGGGACACGCAGGATCTAATGCAGTCAAGATGTTCGGATCGACCGGCTCTGGTGTTTCAGCCTGTTGTAATGGCCTCTCTCTGCACATCATGTTGAGGGTCCTGCCCACTGAATCTTTAATTGCAGTTTTGTTAATTAATTATCAGTTATCAGTGTTCGACATCCAGCCTAGGGTTGCCGAATAACAATTGTATTGTTAACTCATCATTTACTCACTCTCATGTCATTCCAGACCTTTTCTTCTTCTTTAGATTAATTATATTTATGTATTTTGGCAGATGATTTTATCCCTAGTAGTGTTGCACGGTGCACCGATACTTCAAAAGTATCGCGATACTCGGAAATTAAAAACTTCACGATACCTAAATTTATTAGTATCGATACTTCTAAGAATGACCGCGTTCCAGATTTGTAAGAGAGTATTGCATGTTGGTGTGTGCAACGCACGCTTCCAGTGCCTCCCTATGGACGTCTGTGTTTTTCTCCTCATGCGCGTGTGACATGGCGCGTGAACTGAACGAGCAGAGAGAGAGAGAGAGAGAGTGAGCGAGCCCCGGTCGCGCGCGCGCGCACTCTCTCTCTCTCTGCGGAGCCAGGCGAAAGTATAAACAAGGCTTCACCGTCTCAAAACTAAGCGCTGTCTTGCTCTCTCTCTCTCCCTCGCACATATTAATCAAAATAATTCGACACGATGGTAAGGTCGGGAGACTAAAGTTTCATGTGGAGCATTTTTTTTTTTTTTTTTTTTTAATTACCGCTGGGTGTAAATTGTGGTAAAATACGTTGCCTTATCTTCTCTGAATCGTTCCGCACATTCAGCTGACATAAACCACACTTTAAATAAACGAAAAAAACTATCCAGTCATGAAATGTTTTCTGTGATGACAGTGGGATGTAACCGCCTGGATAATCACACAACGCGCACACGTCCGATAATGACACGTCCAATTCGCGAACTAATGACTCATTTGAACCGATTCGTTTTAATGAATGGTTAAAACAACTGATCTGTCTGAATCGGTGTATAACTAATCGTTAACACTTTGTAATAAGGTTTCATTTATTACATAAATTACATAAAACAAATAAAAACACTTGTTTTTTCCCCCCGAAAAAGCATATGACTACTTTTTTCCACACAATGCTATCATGAATCGATAAGAGAATCGTTAAAGAATCGGATCGATAAGCAGAATCGTCAGTGGCATTGATATTGATAAAATCTTATGTTTCTTATGATAACTGAGATAATGCTGCTAAATTTATTTATTTTTTTACCTTGAATGTCATTGCTCTAATTTATTTTTTATATTTTTCATATTTCATATTTTGTTCAAATGGTTATTATAGCCTATCTGCTATTCAAATGTTCATTTATTAGTGTGTTATGATTGGAATGTTGTCCCAGTTTTAAAATAAAGCACAGCAATGATATTTGAGAGTGTTTCTCCCTTTTCAGGAAAAGTATCGAAAAAGTATCGAAATCGCAATTCGTGACTTGGTATCGGTATCGAAACAATAATTTTGGTATCGTGACAACACTAATCCCTAGTGACTTGCGTTGTATTCAAGGAATGCATTTTTATCAAACCCATGAGCGTTGCATGCAAATTTCTAGATTGCAAGATCTAAATGCTTTAATTTTATACACAATTAAAGCGAATGCGGATAAATGCTGTCAAGCTCCGGAAAGGCCATAAATGTATCTGTAAATAAAAACTTAAGATTGTGTGGAGAACAGACACAAGTTTATGCATTCAGATGTCCTGGAATATAGTCATAAATACCTCTTTTATGATGCTTTTTTTGACATTTTTGCAGCTGGACCGTATCCATTTCAATTATTTTCATTGCAAGATTTATTTTGTGAGAGGCTGAAGTAAATGATGACACTGTGTTTATTTCTGCGTGATTTATTCCAGTAAATGTGTGTTGACCATAGACAAATGAATTAAAAATGGAGGGGATGTACTGTAGATTTAATTTAAGGTTTAGTTGGTTTGAAACGAAGCACCTCTCTCAGTGCAGCAAGAGGAACGGCTCATATTCTGGAGTTATGGGCCCTTTGAAAGGAAATTTAGGGAAGAGAGATTGCGCAAGAGCTCTGGAATCTCCCATTAAAGTCTTTTAGTGGCGTTTTCATAGCTGTTGAACATTTGTCAGTGAGTCTGCAAAGGCCATCAAACAGCACTTAAGCTTTACTATTAAGATAACATCGCATTAAGAGCGCAGCGTTTACTCTGAGATCCCAGATCAGTGCGGTACAGGTCTCACCTCAGCCGTAACTCGCTTCTCAATCGCCAGCGTGACGTTTGAGTATAAATATTGAGAGTCTGAGAAGAGTTATACTCTAAACCTCATCATCCAGTCTTCCATTGCTGTCATACCTCTTTTACATGACACAAATTACAGGAGTTCAGGCCCGTTTACACCAAGGATGATAGATATAGTGATAATGATAAAGATACAGTTTTAAAACATCATTTTAAAGTAGGGCTGCAGAGTATTGGAAAAAACTTACACTGCGATATTCTGTTTTTCTGCTATATATATATATATATATATTGTGATTTAAAAAAATAACAATTTCACCAGATGATTTCAATATCTCTATTTGAAAATAATTAATCATTCTAGAATAATTGGGGGGATTTTGTAGGGGAGTGAATCTGCATAGAAAAAATAGACAAATTTCAAGCATTGATAAATACAATGTTTTTCAGCATGTTTTTCAGGTAAATCTAACAGTATTCACAAACATAAAAAAAATTTCTGGATGAACTGATTATTTAATGTGGTTTATCAATCACTGCGTATCAAATGTGCTCTGACACAAAAACTGCTTTGCAATTCCTCATAATCCAGATCAATCTGATCCAATATGACATCAATATCTGTCAGTCTGAAAATGACCAGCGATTGAAATCAGCGCTCTTGTCGTAAGTGACACTTTCTCTGTTTTGTCTCTTGAGATCTTCAAACATCCCAAGCTGTGTTGATCTGCACTGATTGGTACAGATTTCCAGCGCTCGCCCTCGACATCCAAGCTTTGTACCGTTTTGTTTTGCGTCAACGTCTTCAATTCGTTCAGACCACATGTTGCTCCCCTTCCTTGTTTTCTTAAGGATGTTTCCAGACCGTATTCATAAAGTGCTGTTTAAAATATGTGTACAGAGCGGCGCCTGAGGTTTGGGACAGGTTTGCAGGAGCAGCGGCTCATGTGTTTGTCTGTCTGTCTCTCTCTCCGTCCTCAAACCGGCGTCACCTGCCGCACAGCAGCTTCTGGAGGTTCAGGGTTGTGACGGCTGTCTTTGCCCTCATTAAAACGCTGTTGTTAAGGGATATGTGCAGAAGAAAGTAGCTTTTGTCTGTTCCTGATCATCAAATATCCTTTTCTGTCGACACAGCACCCAATCTAGAACCTTTCCATGCATTTCCACTGACGAAAATGCGATTGTGGTTCGGCTCTCAAATCAGTGAAAACGTGATCAAACATGAAAACCTTTTTGGTGCAAATCACCAATGACCAATGAAGCAAGATGACCTGTTGTATTTTAATTTTATATTGTCATATTTTAGATACAGACCAAGAATTAACCCGATTAGAATACATGAAACAACCTGTTATTTTATTTTATTACTATTTGTTTTATTACATTTTGCTAATTTTGATTTAACATGCATGTAAATACTA